TTTTTTTTTTTTTGCATTTGCTGCTTTTCAAATTGATGGACTTAAATTGTTCTTACCAATAGTGGTATAAATTGTTCCGGCATACAGAAGTGCCATTGAGAATGTCCAGGACGATTCAACTTCAGGAAGTGATGCTCCAATGTTTGTCTCAAATTCTTCCAGAGATTGATTCCAGTGAAATTCACGCGTTTCCAGATCATCATACTCTTTCTCAATCAGTCTCAAGCTTGAAAGTTTGAAGAACTCAAAGAAGGGATCTCTTTTGTAAATAAACAATGTTTCTTTTATAACTTTTAAAATTGGTGTTTTTTCTGATGGCAATAAACGTTTTAAGTGCAAAAAAGTAATTGATTAAAAAGTGCTTGAACGAGCAAACTGCGTAAAAAATTTATATGTTCTTCTATTAAGTTCACGACAGTGTGAATTTGTGATTGAGCACAGTGAAGTCGCTCAATAAATGCTGCAAATTTATGACAAAGAAAATGGGAACATTGGCACTAGCGTACTATAAAATGATCAGTTAGTCTAATCTAACAACTTTTCATGATCTGTAGTAACTTTAACATATAATTTCTGGCGATTAAGTTTGGCTGAACAATCAATAAAAAACACACTAGATCGATAACAAAACCAATTTTATTTTTGCAAATCTGTACCTATTTATGAAAATATTTCTTGCAATCAAGTAGTAATCTCTCTCAGCGGCCTTATTTTCCAAATCGTTGTTCTTTTCTAATTCCATGAATATGAAACCACCGACAATAGAGTAAACGGCTACAACGATTGCTAATTTCAACGACGATAACACTTTTTTGAGCGTTTCTATCAACCAACATGTTGCAGTTTTTCTAAATTAAAAATTTGGCAATGTCATTTTTACAAAAATTTCTTGCAGTTACGAAATATTTAATCAACTAAGTTGCTGGAGAAGTAAATCAGAAAAATTTGAACAGAATATCTGATTGTCAACTTTTGGCTGTCTACGTACAAATCTCCGGGTACGTGAAGCCTAAATTTAGCTGAATGTTGACCGTTTTTGATCAGGCCTCAACAGCAATGAACAAATGATTGATGCTGGCAAAAAGGCATAACTTGAAAGATACACAAGCAGCGCTGTACCACCAAATTTGTGACGATTTTGCTTGATCTTGTTTGAATAATTTTCAGTTTTTTGGCTTGCTTCAGTATTAGCTGTTCTGATTTTATTTGTAAAGTAAAGTTAATTTTTGTAATTTTTAGTTCTCTGTTTATGAATATCAAACGTTCTGACAGTTCTCCTAAATCAGTAACACTAACTGTTATGACCAAACAAAGCAGAAAGGCGTATAAAACTTATTTTTGTAAAAAAGAGTATAGAATGCAGCAAACTAAATGCATAAATTAATATGACAGCGAACAGTACCAATAGAATATTGTAGAAAATTTAAGTTTTTTCAGTATTATTTACTTATTTATTTATTTTTTTTTTTGCAATAAGTTCTGCAATAATGTCGTTACGTCAGAAAAAAATTATTAGTTGTTGAGGTGGCGATAGATAATGTTTACAAAAAGCTATTTGTTGAAGTGTGTTTGCATTAACAGTCTCAGCTTTTTTAATGACACTTTTGAGCAGAATTTTAAAAGTAAAATTGATACAGAAGAAAAGTTTTTTTTTTTTTGCAAAAGGAAAAAAAACTAAAAGAGAATACTACCAAAATTTTACTAGTATTTTACAGTACTGTTCTATTTCGTCATCGAAACAAGCATTAAAATTTACTCAGTTTTTTACACTTTTTATCTCTTAGAAGTTATTTGGCAGAAAAAACAGGTGCTTGCTAAATTTTTTGAAAAGGAGAAAAAATAGCAGAAAAAATGGCGATAAATGACGACGACAGCAACAGAAATAAAAAGGAGGAAAAGCAGTTAAAAAAAAAAAATAATGAATGGAAATCAATAAGTCAAAAACTGTTTGATAACTTGAACATTTCTGACTTCAACATTTATTTTCTGCTATAGTCTTCTCGAAAAATCAACTAAATTATACGGAGTAAAACAAATAAATAAGCGAAATGAACAGATGAAGAAGTACTTACGTTGTCTTAAGAGATGCCTTGACAGACGATTTTACTGATGACTGCACTGAGCGTTTTTCATTTTCCGGATGATGAATCAAATTTACTGAAGATCCGATTTGGCCGAGCTCTATATCATCTTCGTGAATTGGTATCAATAGATTATCGCTTGCTTCTAGCTCGATACCCTAGAAGAAACCAGAAAAAAAAAATTTTGTTCAACGTTACTATTTCTTCAGTAAAGCTCCCTATTTACACTTTTTACAATACTTCAATTTTTATATAATTCACAGCAATAAAGTCGGAGAAAGAAGGCAGAAATGGCTTTATGTGTAGCCAAGTAAATTTAATTTATTGGCTCAAATACTTAAGTGAAGAACTGATGACTTTTTCTTATCACTTATACCATCAACATTAGTCAGCAATATAAAACATTTAAAAAATAGGTGAATCTATTTGTAGCAGTTTTGTGGCACATCTAAACTTGTTTTTACAGAATTTTTAGAGAATGATGCTGGATCTTCGTACTTCTTTATCACAATACAAAACCTTTTAGAAAAAGAAATTTTACATATTTTTCATACTTATAATAAATAGTTAAAGCACATATTATAAATCAAAGTCATAATTTGGTAAGTTCAGTTACCGATGCTAAAAGAAGTTTTTTGGAGTGGAGAACTTCACTTTGTATCAATTATTTACCAACAGACTGACATTATTTCACAGCAGGTTTAAAAACTTCCTATTTAGAAAGATTCAGCAACCTCAGTTTTGAGTATACTGTTAAAGTTTGATGCTTTCTAGATCAAGTGCTAGTCAAAATTGTTTATAAATCATAAAGCTTCTCAAAGTATATTGATCTGGTTACTTAACAGCAGTCTATACTCTACCTCTGGTTGTAGCAATTTTAGCCTTAGTCGTTCTTACCTGTAACTGCTTGAAAAAACTGCTGATCAAATTCTTTTCTAACTTTCTTTTGAACTGGTTGCCTGTTTTTCGAACAAAAGTTTTATTATTCAAAACGAC